ATTATCACAAGCAGAAAATAGCTGTGGGCTGTTTCTCTCTGTCCTTCCCCGCGAGGGCCCAGCTAGAGGATGGCAGATCCCACCAATGTCTCGCATCAAATCTTGCACTCTGGTCGGGTGGGCTGGGTGTTTCGTTCAGCTATAAGGTATTGACTCTTCCCAGACCCTTGCAGAAACATTTCACAGAATCACAGAATGGTTTGGGTTGGAAGGGACCTTAAAGACCCTCTGGCTCCCACCCCGCTGCCATGGGCAGGGACCCCTTCCACCAGACCAGGCTGCTCCAAGCCCCATCCAGCCTGGCCTTGGACACTTCCAGGGAGGGGGCATCCACAGCTTCTCTGGGCAACCTGTGCCAGTGCCTCACCACCCTCAGAGTGAAGAATTTCTTCCTTATGTCTAATCTAAATCTCCCCTCTTTCAGTTTAAAGCCATTACCCCTTGTCCTATCACTATCTGCCCTTGCAAAAAGTCCCTCTCCAGCTTTCTTGTAGGCCCCCTTCAGGTACTGGAAGGCTGCAATAAGGTCTCCCCGCAGCCTTCTCTTCTCCAAGCTGAAAACCTCAACTCTCTTTTCAGTGCTTTAGGATGAGGAAACTAAGCTAAGGGCTTTGGGAGTCAAACCAAGAGCCAGGTCCGACGGAGGAACTGAAGGGAAGGCTTCGGCCCTTTGCAATGTGCCCTGGCGGGAGCTGTTGGGTCCAGTGACTGACCCACAGGGACACTGCCCTGCACCAGAGCCATCTGCTGCCATACAGTGGCAACCATGTCTTATAACCCTAGACACAAACGATGTTCTTTCTTAAATATCTCTTAGAGATAGAGGCTTTTCCAGAACCTCCTGGAAAACATGATTTCCAGCCCCAATTTGTTCCTGGGCAGTTCATACACAGTTGTGCCTGTGCCAGCACTTTTCTCTGCCATGAGTATTTTCATGCTGTTTGCTGTCTGTAAGCTTTTTAAGGCACTTGTACAGCCTTTATCTTGCTAGGCTGAAGGAGCCAAGACCCAGTCCTGTTTGTCAGACACTCTCAATTCCCTTCTGCATCTTAGAGGCTCTTTCATCTCTCCCGTTGTGCACTAATCATCTCTCTCGAGTCTTGGTGACCTGCGCACGGTGGTCCAGATGAAGTCTCATGACAATCCTGTAAGATACTTCCAGTATTGCTTCCCTGATATATTGGCTCTTTTCCTCTGGCAGCCTGAAGTCATTCTGCGATGGCACCCACAAATTTTGCCTTTTTTTTTTTTTAAATGTGGAATTAGCATTAACAAGGATTGTGCAAGTGCACACAGATAGCTGCTATATGAATAGGCATCTAACTTCCCTGTTAAAGGTTAATTGTGAAGCTGAGGGGAGAGTCCAATGCTCTCCATAAAACCCTCCTTGTCCTTGTTTATTGCCTCAAAGCTTTAGAATCACAGAATCGTTCCGGTTGGAAAAGACCTTTAAGATCATCAAGTCCAACTGTTAACCCAGCACTGCCAAGGCCACCACTAACCCATGTCCCCAAGCACCACATCTCCC